ATTTAAATAACATAAACCTCCGAAACGGTGATTATCACCCATTCTTCGCCTACGGACAGAGCAAACTCGCAAATGTCTTGTTTAGCCGGGAGTTGGCTAAAAGATTAAGACATACCTACATCAACACGTATTCATTACATCCCGGTGTCATTGACACGGATTTGGGTAGACATGTTGGGGAAACCGATGATAAACTAAAAGGAAAGGGATTTAAGGGATTTATGAGAAGAAACCTATTGTTGACACCTTTCATGGGATCTCAGACTACACTGTATTGCGCTCTGGAGGAGGATTTGGACGACGAGACCGGATATTACTACGAGTATGTGTTGTATTCATTAATATGTTTTTGCAAATAATTAATTGGTATTTAAATTGACAGCAATTGTCAGCGAATTGATTATATGATACCCGAAGCCAATGACGACAAGACCGCCAAAGCTCTCTGGAAACTGAGTGAAGACTTTGTCAAACTTGAAGATCATCTCAGGATTTAATTCATAGACATTTGGAAATTAAGATTTTCAAGAAATATTTACAAACATAACTATTTTACTAGATTTAAAAGCATTTATAAATAAATAATTTCATAAATAAAAATATTTCATTAAAATTAATTTTATTTAAAATAAAGTTACTTACATAATAATAAATGCATGTTGTTTTTAAGTCATTCAAAGCATTAAATATTTAACAAGAATTTTGTATCACAAATTTATTAAACACAATTTACTAAAATAATTATAATACTAAATAGATTTATTGTTAACTATATCAAAACCTTTATTACTTTTATGTTCAGTTAGAATTACGACTACAACTTATTTTCACTTCAGTTTAACATCCATTGTATTAATAATAAGTTAAGTGCGACCGCGCTTGAAAGGTTACGCGTATAATAATATTACTAATCCATGGGTGCGATCGCACCATAAGTTTGATACGTGTGTATGAATGAACAGAATTTCTATATAAATGCATACACTATAAGGTAACCAATATAAACGTACAGCTATTCTATACTTTTATGTTGTAATAAAGTGTAGTATAAATGGTAAACAAGTATATAAAGACTATCAAACACCAGTTTAGTATCATTTGATTTTAGCATCAGTCAAGTGTTGACCGAATTGTTACATAAAGTGATTAATAAATAAAATATACATTTAAGTGAAAATGTGTGAAACAATTCAAACGGGAAAGACATTGATAGGATTGGCTGCTTATGATTTTACACAAATACGCTTAATATGAGACGAAAGTGTAAAAGTGAGCGAAGATTGGATGGAAAGGTAGTTATAAATAAATTGTATATAACATAACATTATAAATTTGTCAGTACTTTTAGCCATAATATATTATATTACAATAAGTTAGCATATAAAATATAAGCATAATAAAAAACAAAATTATTTTATTTACACATAAATTATAAAAAGTGTTCCCGGGGTAAAATTTGTTATTATTTATATAATGAATAGTTGCCAAATATTTTGTAATATAATATTTTGATTTTATTTTGATAGCAATTGTAAACGCGTGGATAAAATGGTAAAACAGGCGACGGATGACGAAACCGCTAATATGTTGTGGCAATTGACGTGCGATTTGGTGGCACTGGAAGATGCACTCAGAATATAAATAAATCTTACATTTTATACCATATTTATCTCGAATTTAATCTGAAACAAGCTAACAATTTAAATTTTTCATATTATTATTTATTATAAAATCTGGTTGTACGTCGAAAATTTAAAACATCTTATTTATAATTAAAAGTTGTCATTGGTTTTATTATATTATACTGTGTATGTAAATTATTTGTCATCTTAATTTCTCAAATAAAATGATATTAATGAACATGGCTGAAATCTTCTTCAAAATGTGTAAATAAGATATTTTTTAATGCATAAAATTCTTGTAATTACGAGTTTTATTAAATTAACAAATATCACAACAAGAAATGCTAAATAAATGGAAAAATATTGTTTTGTAGCTAAAAAGATTGATTATGAGTATAGAGAACAAGTTTATAAAGTAAATACAATATTTGTGAATTTAGTGTAAGTTAACTACCATATATTCTTTGTAAAATTCAACAAACAAAGTGTTTATAAAAAAACATTAATTAAAAATCATTATTTTCTATCAAGATATTGAGTATTCAATGATAGAGGGACGGGTGGCTCATAGCCCTCCGCCATCGGACACGAAGTTAATTGCCGTCACAAACGACGACTCGTCCGAAGCCAAGAAGAGAATGGCGTTCGCGATGTCTATGGATTCGCCGACTCTTCCCAACGGATACTGTTTGGCCACCGATTCGTACATACTTTCCGACTGACTCTTTGATAGGCCCACCACTTGAGAGAAATTAGTTCTCACGGCTCCCGGACTTCATTGGCATTCATTAAATAATGTTAAGTTATGTGTGCAGTATTATATGAGATAATTATGTGCCGTACGTTTAATTATAGGTAAGCTAGCTATATTTTTGTAGCATTTACCAATTCTTAAATCTAAGATTCTTAAATTTACCAATTACCTAATAAACCAATTTTTATGAATTAAGAAAATTAGAAAATATACAGTGAAAATGTAGTGTTAAGTTATTATTATTGAAAATTTAAATTATTTTTAAGACTGTCAAGTCATTAATATTAATAAAAGAAAATAACCTCAAATCTGAACTCAAAAAAAACTCAGAGCATAATATTATATAATAATCGATAATCCAGGGTAGTTCCTGTGACAGTAATCCTGTGTATGTATGTATATGGGATAACTATTGTATTAAACGTATACACTGTACTTACTTTACAACATTGACACGATTGCCTTTGGGACCTAATTCTAGTGCCAAACATTTAGAAAACATGTCCAGGGCACTTTTAGCCATACTATACAGGAATAACCTCGTAGACTATTATGCAGAGTATATTTTACGAGTTAATTCAATAAAAAAATTTTAATAATTAATAAATATAAGCACTGATTAGCTACAAACCGGTTTAAAAGCCAAAACACTCGATATGTTTATGATATTGCCTTTAGTTTTCTCCAAATGATCGACACATAAATGAGATAAATATACGGCTGACCGCAGATTTGTGTCCATAATTTGCTTGTATTTGAGCAACACTTCCGTATCTCTAATAGTGGTTGAGATGCCAAACCCCGCGTTATTCACCAAAATGTCTAACCTTTTGAACGATTGTATAGTCGTATCGACGAGTCGTTTGCAGTCTTCATCACTACTCACATCTGCCACCACTTCCAGAGGTTTGAGACCTTTTGGCGACACTTTCAGACATTCTGTGGCCACTTGTGACACATTATCGGCGTTTCTGCCGGTGATCACCACATGAGCGCCATATCGAGAGAATTGGACGGCAGTGACGGCACCGATACCACCGCTCGAACCCGTTATGAGCACTACTTTACCGCTAAAATCTTTTCAATTTGACATAAGGGATCATTCAATAAGTATGTACGCACTGGATGGGGGAAGGGGGGTCAGCCAAAGCATGCGTACACAATGTTAAAGTCCTATGTACGAGGGGCGTTTCGGGGGGAGGGGGGTCAATTTTTAGACAAATTTTTGCGTACGTACTTATTGAATGACCCCTAATGTGATCTGCTTTGGAAAATGTTTATTTGTATTTTAGTTATTGTTAATTTGCTTTATATACAAGTTAATAAATTGCACCTAATATTGGACTAAACTCCGTTCACTGTAACTTCATAGTGAATTTATATTTGGCGCTTGACGTTTGACTACTTTCTAGTTTAATGTCCATTAATTATGGTCAGTATTTAAGTTATCAATTTTTTTGTGTAAATACAGTGGACCGGGTGAGACTGTATTGTCTTAATGCTTAAAGTACACAAACTTATGAACATCAATGCTGAAAGATTACTAATCTTTAAAATTCAAATTGATAAGCTCTGTGTACTTGTGTACTTGTGTTTGTGTACTTGTGTTTGTGTACTTTATACATTAAGACAATACAGTCTCACCCGGTCCACTGTATTTACACAAAAAAATGATAACTTAAATACTGACCATAATTAATGGACATTAAACTAGAAAGTAGTCAAACGTCAAGCGCCAAATATAAATTCACTATGAAGTTACAGTGAACGGAGTTTAAATGTGGACTTAATATGCACTAAATTATTGTATAAATAAATGTACTGGAACAATTTAACACATTGCTTAATAAATACTGTACACTGATAGATAACCAAGAGTTAAATTTATTTAAAATAAAATTATTTTGTATTTAGTTTTTTACATTTGAATAGATCTAAACATTAATTTAATAATATAGAAGCAAGCAAATTAAAGTTGAATTATATAAAGTTAGCAAGTTAACTCTGATTTATATTTTACACTATTTAATACTATAATAATGAATTTAACTGATATTCATTTCTTAGATTTTCTATTATTATATTTTATAAACAAATATCTAAATTATAAGAGTGCTCATGTTACATGTAATAAAATTGTAAGTTTGTGAAACTTTTAATATTTATTGTTATGCAAAAGATTTATTGTTCATTGTAATGAAATTGCAATTATAGTGTTTTAATGTTAAACTTGATAACAATTACAGTAAATACTAAAGGATTGGTTCGTTTAGTGCTATTCTAGTACGATCGGCCTTCACATTTGTTACATAGGGGGCAGGTAGTTTAGCACAGGCATGACAGCGCATTCATAACCACTTTATAAGGAATTGCATTCAACAGTATTCCTACAAAAATAATCAATAGCCAGGAATTGGTGTTTGTTATAAGACGTGTGTTTAAGACGAGAGTTGATAATATTTTGAATATTATTGTGTTTTGAATTTATAAAAACTATCTTGATAATTTAATAATGGGTGTGTGGAGTCAAATACGATTAGTATATTTCTGGCGGGTTTTGGTGGGAATGGTCTATGAATATCCGACTTATTTCTTCGGATTTAGACGTAAAGTAAAGACAGATAAGAAACTGAATGGACAGGTAGTTGTAGTGACCGGTGGTAACACTGGCATTGGAAAGGAGACGGCGTATCAAATGACACTCAGGGAGGCCAAGGTATGTAGAAATGACTAATTTTTAACATTTTAACATTAAATTAAATTTATGAATTAATAAGCCATAGAAACAGTTTAATTAAAATTAAATAATTTCTAATCATAAAGTTATTGATAATTTCTAAGCAATTAATAATACATTTTTAGTACTGGTAAACAATAAAAGTAAATTATTATTATAAAGCAATGCTTATAATTAATATTGATATTATTTAAACACAATAAAATGTTAAA